TAGGGAATACAAATGAGGCAAGACCTGGTTTTATAAAGCTATTTAAGAGAGAAGGTGCAGTGTTGTGGCCACAGATTCAAGCTAAGAAGCATCTATGCACATTTCTGATTTTCTTATTTTTCAACAAAAAGGGTGACTGCCACAGAGCTGACAATACAAGTGTTTGGAAATTGAGTGCTTTTATCTGAAAATAACATCTGAGAGAAATAAAAGGGCTGCATGTTTTTTCTGCACAAAAGCAAATTCAAAAGAATATTACTTTTTATCCTCTTGGTGATATTGCTATAGTTTTTTAATTAAATACTCCCCCCCACCCCCCACCACACACCCTTTACATTTGTGACTAAAGAGTGCTTTAGGAAAGAATGAAAGTCTAGAGTTCAGTGGACAGATCATGATTTTAAAGTTCCTCTGACTTATTCATAAAGTGTTAAAAATAAAATTTTGGAAATGGTGTTGGATCTAATCCACATAAAGCCCATAGTGTTCATTGTAAGGAAAACAGGGTATCTCAACTCAGTTGTGATGAGCATCAATATCACTATAGTCCAGAGAATAAGATGACATTAAGTATCATCTCTCCTGCCTGATACAGCCTGAGAGCTGTAGGATAGTTCTACTGTGGATCTTAGAAACAAACATTACTTAGAAACAAATAAAACCCAGTAGCTCACCGAATCAGGATATAGAATCTCCCTCAAGGAGAGAGAGAGCCCACCAGGCATCTGTGGTATCTTAGCCTTTTGTCCACATCTGAGGTCTGAAAATATTCAGACTTGAAAGGGTCAATTTGCTTTCAAGTGTGTTTTCTCTCCATGTAGACACTGGTTTGTAAATTGGAGTGTTTAAAGATTTGGGTGAAGATAGGACTCTCCTACCATATTCCTTTCCTTCAACTTTGGTCACGATTCTGCTATGGAAATGCTTTTTATCCAGACTCCTCTGTGATTACGACTTTTAGGGATGGACATAGCAAGACAGTCAGGTTAGGTTGAAGTTTAGTTAAAAGTCGTGTGTGTGTGTGTGTGTGTGTGTGTGTGTATTGCTGATGGAGCTGCTCTTCTTTATCACACTCATTTAATAAATCAGATTAATATATGTCATGTTTATTAGAATCAACGTTTCAGTGCATGACATTTGTATCCCCACCTTTCTCTAGGAACTTCTTGTCATTCTAGTGTGATTTCTATAATAGTCACACTTGTGATAATGATAGCTAACAATTATCTATGACGTACTGAGGGCTAGCTACGTAGTGTTTTAAGTATTTTATGCATTATCTCATATAAGACTCATAACAGTCCATTAGCTGGATACTATGCTTTGTATCCCAATTTCATAGAAAAGTTCAATGATGAGTTCTAGGTTGCAAAGCTAGGAAGTGAGGTCGATATTTGAATCCCGCCATGGCTTTAACTATATAAAATTCTGCCTCTTGATTCCCTCATATTTATGTCCTCAGTATTGTTCTCTGGTTAGCACTTGTCTCTTTTTCTTCCTTCTTTCTTTACTTCCTTCCATAAATATGTACATATTTATGTATAAATATCTTAAAATATGAATAACTAGCAAAGAATTCTCCTTAGAAGGAGGGAAATTATGTGTATATGAAATTATCTTGTAGGCCTGTACAATACTTGGAAATAAGAATAACTGTTTTTCATAACACAAGAAAAGGAGACTTTAATTTTCCTGAATTGTTTTGTAATCAAGGAAGAAGAATACATATGAGAAAAAAGAGTGTTGAGGAAGGTGAACCAATGAAATTGTAGACTACTCAAGAGCTACAATGTGAAGCCACCTCAAGCCCTTTCTAAAATGCTCAATAGTTCAACAAAAGTCTCAACACCAGCTGATTTCTAGTGGAAACTGATGAAAGATCTGACCTATGTATCCAGGTTCTGGTCTACAAGGCAGCAATGAATAGGACTTGGAGCAATGAGCCTGATAAATGTATAGACAGTAACTCTTAAAGGCATGAAAGTTTAAAGGGCTTTTGTTTTGCAAACATCACTAGAGCAGGGTTTGGGGGAATTTAATTACATCTTCAAGGATAAGGGATCTGTTTTTGTTCATCAGTTTATGTTGAACAAAAACAAATCCAGATCCATGAAGCATCTATCAGGCCGTCAAACCACAGAGGGAAGGTAGGGGAGGGTGGGGGTGAGGGGGAGAGATCAACCAAAGGACTTGTATGTGTGCATATAAGCCTAACCAATGGACACAGACACCAGGGGGGAGAGGGCCTGAGTGTGTGGGGGGGTGAGGGGACAATGGGGGGATAAGGACACATGTAATACCTTACTCAATAAAGAAAAAGAAAAAAAATTAAAATAAAATAAAAAGATTAGGGAACTAGACTAACATTTTCACATCCTCATTTCCCTCTTTCTTTCTGCCTACTTTCCCCCTGTCATTTTCCTACCTTCTCTCCCTGCTTTTCCTTCCTTCATTTCTTCCCGCTTCCTCCTCCTCTTCCTTCTCTTCCTTCTACTCTCGTATCTCCATCTCTCCTCTATCTAGTTTGACAAATAATTTCAATTACTTTCAAAATTACATAATATATAACTACAATTTGGACATTTAAAAGCAAAGTTTAGAAAACTTCAGATTACATAAAAATAAGGCAAAATGTATTATGTATTCAAAGATAATGCAGGTTATAGAAAATATATTTTTAAAAATGTTATTGAATATTTGGGGTGATATTAGTTAATAAATTCATATAGGTTTATGTGCACAATTCTACAATACATAGAATCTATTTTTATACAGTTGTGATATAAATTTTAATGTGAACTTCCTCTTGGCAAAACCAATAATGGTAAATAAGTGATTAAAAGATTCATATTGGAAAGGAAATAGTGCATCATTTCTTGTAATATACACATTTATCCTATTTTTGTGGCTTGTTGGATTATGGAATGTTGCTAAATTTCCTATTTGCTCATGTGATATGATATAGACCTTATGTTTTCCCAGTATGAAGATGTGTTGCTATGTTGATCAAGGTGACTAGCCTCTTCCAAGTTTTGAGGAAAATCTTTATTCTCATATGTGCCCTTCCCTGATTATAGGACCAGGAAGGGGAGATATTCTGATTGGTGGCAAACTCTTTAGGACTGTGAGACAGTTACATTTGATTAGCTTCTCTCCTAAGAGTGGATGACCACTATTTCATCTACTGAGCTTTTAGGATGCAATGAACTGAAAATGCATTAATTCCACTTGAAAATCTTTTTTGATCTATTTAGTCCATTTCCAGTGTTGCGATTCTTTACTAGAAAAGACTTCTCTCCATGGCAAACATAACATTGGAAGGGTAAATATCAGCTTATAGTGATTATATATTTTTTTCTACAGCTAAAAAATAAAGATCATACTGTTTTTAATATCTAGAGGTAAAAGTAGTCACTGCACAGTGTGAAAATTCAGTAGGAAATGAATCTCATCAATATTTTTACAAAGGAAACAAAATTTAGAATCTCACATGAGCTTTCTGTAAAATGATTTCACTTGAGTGCTAGGTAATATTGCCTGCACAGCACTTTTTGATGGTTTATGGGAATTATCTACAATCTTAAATTCTTTCAACTTAAATTGCACTTCAAAGTTCATTCATATCAAGTAAAAATGATATAGTTAAGTTTTCAACAGGTAATGAATTATTCATTAAAGCAGATAATGGTGTTAGGGACCAACCAAGGAGCTATAACATTAGCATAAAGAATTCCCTTTGCCACATTAATTGTTAAAATTTAAAATATATACAACACAAAATATATTATATCAGAGATTTTGTTTTTAGTTAAATAAACTAAAGTCTTCTATGGTTACCTTTATATTAGATTTTAAAGCATGCTACCTGGGAGTTTATAAATCATTTGATCTTACTTATGAATTATATTAGTGCAAGAAATACACTTCTATGCAGGCTTATTGATAGTTGAAGGTAGTAGTTTGGTTTTTCTTTTTATTTAGGTCCTATGAAAATTCCACATATGGATTATTTAGAGAAAACAATAACCTGTCTATCTGTGCATCATTTCATTTATTTTGTCCCCGAAAGATATTGATTTGAAAATAGTGGCTTACAAATACCCTGATTAAATTATCTGAGAAACAACATTAAATTGTATTTTATTCAATGAAGTTTTCCTGACTCACGCAATACAAAATATCTGACTGATTCCAACCTCATGAAATAATACCCAAGATGTGCTAAATAAAACATTACATAGTGTAAAGGACAGAGATAATTATAATATGGTTTATGCCCTTAAGAGAATCACTATTTATTGAGGAGAAGAACTATGAAGAGGAAAGAAAAATTTGAGGGGAAGAATCCAAGCTTACCTACCTGGCTATTGACAAGCTTCAGTGAAAAAGAGTAGGAGAAAGAGCAAGAGTAAGAGCAGACAGCGTTCCCAAAATGCACGCCACAGTCATTTTTAAGCTAATACTGAAAGCAACATTCTATTGCTACCACAGCATTGTATCTGTGAGAGGTGAGTCAATTGTTCCAGCCCTTGCTCATGGGGAGGAGGTTACACAAATGTAATAGAGACTCTTCGAGGTCATTTTAGAGGCTGCCAACCCTAGTTCTGTGTATTGCTTCAGCCCTTGCCAGTGAAAGTATAACTATGTCAGACTTCCCCAAATATCAGTGAAAAATAAAAGGAGATGAGTGCAGGTAATACGATAAGCATAAGAACAGACAAATGTAGCTTGTTAAGTCTTTGGGAAAGTCCAATTCTGACTAGCTATTTTTTTTTCTATTTTTTTTTTTACTAGCTATTTCATTTCAATCCAAGAGAAGGTGTTTTTAACCATTGAAGGATTGCAGTTCATTTTGTGAACCAATAGGATGCCAGATTTATTTTAATTTATCAAAGCAAACATAAAATGAAAGGTAGTGGTCATAGTTGTAAATTGTTGGGTTTTCAGTCGACGTTCTTCTGAAGATTTTCCTTCCACTTTGAGATTCTGGAGTTATTTTTATTATCAAAAACTGTGTTTCCTTGTAAGAGAGTTTGATGAAATAGAAAGAACAGCAAATTAGGATTTAGAAAACCTGACTGTAATTCTAGCTCTGCTTCTTACCAGCTGTGTAAACTTGGACTGCTTGCTTGCCTTTACATGCAATTTCTCATGTGTAAAATTGATTAATACAAAATGATTAAATACGATGGCAGTGGTACATGCCAAAGCTACGTGATCTTAGAGGGAAGAGGTGAGAATATTGATCACTAGCAAGGGCTGTACGATGAGTGTGAACCTTGAAAATAGTAAAAAAATGGATGAACACATGTGCTTTGGAAATGAAACACAGAGCCAACTAGGTATGGGAGAGCATGGATTATGCGCCTGCTAGGGCTGGCTCATATGGGTTTATCATGGAGCCAAAGAGGAGCATTCTCTCATGGCTTTTGGCAACTTGTTCCACTGACTGGAAGCAAAAATATTGATTGTAAATGGTGAGGTTTGCCTAGAGTTGGGACAGGCGAGAAAGGTGCAACTAGAGATAAAGGAGACGTGATAAACTAGGGAAGGGATTTTCAACTGGTGAGCCACAAGAATTTTTAAAACATTCAATACCTAATAATTTAGACCAGGGCACTGATCTCTTTTCCTTTAGAAAGTAAAACAGACAAACAAACAAACAAAATGACAACAGCCAACACAACAAAACCATCTAATGTGAATGAATCAAAATTATAACAGGAATAAAAAGATGGTGGCAGAATAGGTGGATATGACACTCAACTCCACCTAGGGCCAAATAGGAAAATACAACTAAATAACCAACTAAAGACTAGCTGAAGAGGAGTCTTATATCCAAGGATTTACGGAAGAAGCCTCATTAAGACTGCTTCAAACAAGTTTATGAAATCCAGGCACAGACAGCATTTGACATTGGCCTGCACCAAAGTTTCTTCTAAGAGTCTCAGAACAAACATACCAAGTGGCCTGCTCCAGACAACTTTGAAGCAGGATCCAAACAATTTTACAAACAGCATATCCAAAGGTAAATTGCAGCAGCACCTGTACAACAGCTCTCACACCATATTTGGGGTTGACCCTTAAGTCAGCAAGCCTGAGGGTTGATCCCACCCATGAATGAGAACAGCATTCAAGACTCCATTTTAACAGGAGGGCCCACATAACTCACACAGGGACATTCCTAGAGCAGCCAGCTCAGGGGATCAACTAAATAAGGCCACAGAACACCTCCTAATAAGGTCACCAATCAAACAGTTGAAGTCATAGTAGATATCTCTAATACATAAAAACAAGTACAAAGAGGCAAACAAAACGGGGAGACAAAAAAAAAGGGGGCCCAAATGAAAGATTTTTAAAAAAAGGCTTGCCTTAATAACACTGAATTTTAAATGGTGGGACTCCAGTCTTAGACTAGTAGCCTGTTTTGGGTAGGAGAAAGTTTAATTTCTATTGTACACGGGGCCATGATCAAGGTCAGCTCAACAAAAGTTCTAAAATTGAAGCCTTTACCATCTCCTTTTTCTTCTTCAGTGGACCCAATGCAGGACTAGGGCTATTTTATCCATTAGCCACAAAGGTATAGTGTTTAGGGACTGTAAGCTTTTCATAGGCATGTGAAAATGTTTGAGGTTCCAGAAAAATATGTCAGTTAGCACAAAAGAAGAAGCAAAACCTCCCAAATTAAAATTAACTTAACTCTATGTCTGCCAAATGTAACATTATTGCAACTTCATTAATTATTAATTTCAGTGGTCACAAAAACATACCTTTGAAGTTTAGGCTATGTTACACAATAGCTATCAAAAAGTACACATGATTATTATGAAAACATTAAAGTATTAAAGTTAAATAATTTATGCATTGTTAAATAAGTTTAAATATATTTTCATTCATACATTTATTCATTTCATAATCATTTATTCATTTCACAAGCAAGCACTTAATTTAAACTAGGTCAGTAGTGTTCAATCTAGAGTACTGGTACCCTTAGAAAATAAGAATATTTTATACTAGTAAGGACATAGATATAAATGGTTTTAAATGAAATCATTTTCAGATATTCAACTTTCATGTGTACTCATTACTGATATTGATCCACCTATGAAAAAGGCTGCTCCTCTGGTTCCATTTTCATACCACCTCATGTCCAATCCATCATCTTTATTCCCCCTGCAATGAAAAACATGGATCTCTAGAACACACACACACACACACACACACGGCAGTCTAAATATTACTATAGATGTTAAAAAACCGAATGAATATATTGCTAAAATAATGTTTACTTAGGAAACACCAGTGGCTTTTTTTGGCTTTCAACACAGTTGAGGTTGGAACAATTTGTATTTCATAAATAATTTCTGATGTTAGATCAATAGCTGACTTTGGGGGTGGAGGACATATAACTCAGAAGTCAAAGTGACATCACTACAAAAAACGTATATTTTTATCTAATTATTTAGGCAAATAAATTTTCTCAGTGTTTATACTGAAAACTACCAGAAACAGGAACACACTTGATATACAAACCTGTCTCCCTAGTAATGAATAATAAATTGAAAAGGAAAAGCTCTACCAATATCAGTAACAGATTAACTTCCAACAAATTTTTGTATTTAAAATTATTTATCAAAATATTTAATATATTAATTTTTATCAACTCTGTTTCATTCCAGGATGTGATAAAAATAAATTTCTCCTTTTCTCTGTATATATTTGGAAATGTGTATATATGTAAGTATGCACATGTTTATATACACATACATACAATCATATGACATACATATATTTCACATATTTTTGTTTTTGTTATAGGAAATATGATATTGTAATCAATGAAAAATATTTTTATAAAAATGTATTAGTGTAAAATTATGTGAAAGAAGTAAATGGAAATATAAGCTTATGGAGAAAGAACACTGATTTTAAAATTTCTGAATGCAAAAACAGATCTTCCTCAAGTATTTCTTTTTTTTAATCTTCATTGGAGGATATGTTTTATTGATTTTAGAGAGAGGAGAAGGGGGGAGGGGAGAAGAGATAGAAACATCTGTCAGTTGCCTTCTGTATGTGCTCACACCAGGTATCAACCCCACAACCTAGATATGTACCCTGACCAGGAATTGAACCAGCAACCTTTTGGTACAGGAGACAATGCTCCAACCAACTGATCCACACAAACTGGGGCTCAAATGTTGAATGGTGGTGACTTTCAAAGTGTTATATTTAGAGTCCTTTGGAAACACTTAGGAGAATGATGTGAAAATTTTATTTTTAAATGTCAATATTCACAAACATTCCAGAAAGGATTTTTTGCAACCATTTAGAATTAAGATGTAAATTTAGAGATTACGTATAATATAATCTTTAAAGTATGCAAGCCAGCAAAGTAGATCCTTTTGCAAAGCTCTTTCAGATAAAATTCCAGAACAAAATGTTTACAATTCACACTGCACTAAATGCTGTGCTCATAACAAGTTTCTATGCTTTTCCATCCGACCTGACCTCTAAGAAATCACTTCTGAGGAGCACTCACACACTCAGAAATTACCCAGATAAAGGAGCATTGAAAGGCAAAACACAAATAGATTTGGAAGCTTATTATCTGACTAGAGGCCCAGTGCAGAAATTTGTGCAATTGGGGGGAGAGAGGGCCCCTCGGCCTGCCTATGCCCTCTTGCGGTCTGGGAGCTCTTGGGGGATGTCTGACTGATGGCTTAGGCCTGCTCAGACATCCTTAGTGCTGTCACAGAGGCGGGAGAAGCTCCCGCCACTGCTGCTGCATTCACCAGCTGTGAGCCCAGCTTTTGGCTGAACAATGCTCCCCCTGTGGGAGTGCACTGACCACCAGGGGCAGCTCCTGCTTTGAGTGTCTGGCCCCTGTTGGTAAGTGCGCATCATAGCAACTAGTTGTTCTTCCGTTCGGTTGATTTGCATATTAGCCTTTTATGCCTACAGGATCAGCCGAAACCAGCTCTCTGACATCCTCTGAGGGGTTCTGGATTGTGAGAGGGCACAGGCCAGGCCAAGGGACCCCACTGGTGTACAATTGGGGCTGGGGAGGAACACGGGAGGTTGTCCAGCCGGGGAGGGACCACGGGAGGGATCCAGGGCATGTCGGCCCATCTCGCTCAGTCCCAATTGGCCAGACCCCAGCAGCAAGCTAACCTAATAGTCAGAGCATCTTCCCCATAGTGGTCAGTGAATGTCATAGCGAGTGGTTGAGTGGCCTTAGCATATTATTAGCATATTATGGTTTGTTTGGTTGAACGGATGACTGGATGACCAGACACTTAGCATATTAGGCTTTTATTTTTATAGGATATGGAATACAGTAGGTGAGAGAGGCAGTCAAAATTAATAATTCAAAAAAGATTTCTCAATAGAATTTGTGAATATAATTTATTTTTCATCCTGGTATTTTTGTGGATGATATTTTATGTTCAGGTTATTAATCTTAAAGGATATATTTAGAACTACTACTCTATTAGTTTAAAATGTGTTATTAATGAATGGAGACAGTGTCCTTCTATTTTACCTTAGGACAATATTTAATTTATTGAATCAACTAATAACACTGATAAGTGTATTATGTCCAATCATATCCTGAGGCATTGGGAGAGGGAGGTGGCAATGGCTTCAAGGAGAAGGGATTATGGAGAATAATAAAATATCCTTTGGCCTGGAAAATTTATGTTCCAGTTTGTTCTTTAGTTTTCTACCAGGAAAGTTGAAGTGCTAAATCTCTAATTATAAACAGAGTTCCTCTTAGTTCATCAAAAGAATGGAAGAAAACAGAAGCCATGATATATATACAACATTATTCTGTTTCTCTGTCGTTGTGTAAGTTATATCACTCACTTGAATGCCGTTACTCCTCTTATTTATTCAATAACCTTTCATTAT